TGCCGCCTGAGCTCGCCCTCGGTCGCCCGTGTTCGGGAGGGTGTGCGAGCTGCAGCCACTCCCTGCCGCGGGGCCCTCCGCACACCCGAGCTCCGCATGTCCTGGGCTCGGCCATCTTGAGGGCTCAGCAAGCCGGGCACGCCGTCTGACCCCGGCCGGGCGGCGTGCAGCCAGCTCTCTGTCACGTGAGGTGTGATGCCGTCTGGAGGGAGCAACTTACTCTTGCTTCTGCCCTGAGCTCATTTGATCACTGTGTTCATCTTTTAAGAAAATGGGCTTATTTCCTCTTGAAATTTGGTGAACCAGATTGAGCTATATACGTCAGCATGTCTGCCGAGCAAGGGAAAAATACCTTTAAGGTAGTGAAATAAAATATTTGGGGTAATAACCAAATTGTTTCCAAAATGATTCTACATTTCTATTGATTTTGTGCTTGATGCTTGACGAGCATTAATTACTGAGGAATTTATTGAGGCCTGTGGTGAAGCCCAAGCAGCGCGGAGAAGCGGGGACGATGCCAGAACTCGCATCCCCACCCCGCCCATCCGGTCTGCGAACCGGTGGGCCCGGGAGGGGCGCAGGAGGCAGCGAAGACGGCGGGTGGCTCGCCGGCATCCCCTGCGCCTCACCCGCGAGCATGCGGGCTCCGAGACGGCCTTGCTGCTGGCGGAGGGGGCGAGCTCTGTCACTGGCCGCCTGAGCTCTGAGGACCCCAGCTTACACTGGGGACTCGAGAGAGCAAGGTGTTTTCTGACAGCTCGAAGAAGCCCGCGTTTCTGTGCAGATGAGCCCCGGAGGTGAGCCCGACCGACGGGCCAGGGGCCTCTCCTGTCTCATCCGTGCTGGTGCCCGCGCCTGCGGACGGGCGGCCTTGCCAAGATCACGTCACAGCATCGCAGTGACGGCCGCCCTGCCAGCCCCCCAGCACCACACGCGTGGCCCTCACTCACGAATGTCAGCGTCGCAGTGACAGCCGCCCTGCCAGCCCCCCAGCACCACACGCGTGGCCCTCACTCACGAATGTCACGGGGCAGAAGAAGGTGGGAGACAGCGCTGGCAGGAGCTTCGAGGGCTGGTGGCCCCACGTACTCCGCTCGTCTACTCTGCTCGTCGGCTTCTAGTTGCTCTTTGTGATGCAGAGAAAATATTCACCACTTCGTTTCCCTCTGAGAGTTATCGGAGGGAATTAGATAACGCACCTTATCACGGAAAGTATCTAATGGAAATAAACAGTTGAGCGGATCGTTATGGGACCTCACTTACCAGGTGCTGCCTAATTAGTGACAATATTTAGTAGTTTCTTTCTGAGGCTATGTTCAGACGGTGGAAAAACCTATTTTCTTGCATTATATATAGCATGTAATAAAACGTATGATATGTAGTGTATGTCACAAAACACATGTAGGTATCAGAGCATCACAGTATTGCAGTAACAGAACTTATAGATTATCTAGCACAAACTCTGAATTATTTTTGTTTTAATAATTGACGAGTCTAAATTTTTCTGCATGCATGTGACTTATCCAGAGTCACAGGCATCGGTGACATGGCAAACCTGCGTTGTCAACACCCCACGTGTGGAGAGGCTCTGCGGTCCGGGAGCCGGGCGGGCAGCGGCAGCAGCACTGAGGCTCTGCGGTCCGGGAGCCGGGCGGGCGGCGGCAGCACCGGCACTGAGAAGGCGGCGCCCTTCCTGTTTCCTCTCGAGCAGAGTTTGAAGTTGTTTTTGGCTCACGTCGGTCCGCCCCTCCTACGGGATGGGCGTTAAGTTAAAAGCTTGTGATGCTAAGGCACAGAAGAGAAGAGTGTGCAGGTTCTGGGGCGCATGGGTTGTACCTGCCTCCCTCCCGTGTCAGCCCCGCCGTGGGACCACTGGGTCTCAGGTGCCCTGCCGGCAAGCCGTGCCGTTTGGCAGAGAACCCGGGGCCTCGGAGGCTGACGGGCACAGGGCGGACTGTGCAGACTGAGCTCTCCGTGGCGGCCGGCACCCGTGCCCGCCGGGCAGCTGAGGCACCCGGGGTTTGTATAATTCCCTAAGTTGCAGGAGGGGCCCCTAGGGACCGCGCACGCGCACGGCTCCCCGCCGGAGGTGTGGGGGAAGGACCCGCCCAGGTCCCGTGGCTCCCGCGGGCCGCAAGCACACACCTGGCACCTCATTTTGCAGTGTGTCTTCTTTCCCTGACCTTGGAGGTGTGGCGTCTTAATTTTTTGACCTGAGTCTCCATAGTTTTGGCTAAAATTCTTGAGTCAATTCTCAGTTCTTTACTTTTCACGACGAAACGCAGCCCTGTTCTTTCGTCGGGTCTTCCGTTTCGCTTCTCTCCGGCCCTGCACGCAGTTTTCCCCCAGGTTCCTGGAGCTTCCAAGGACCCCGCCCGACAGTGGCGTGAGCCTCAGCTCAGTCAGTGTTCAGGTTAACCGTTCGCAGTCGCCAGCGGCCAGCGACCAAGCCGCCCGCGTGTCCTGTGCTGCGTCCGGGTTTCGAGCCCTGAGCAGTCTCGTGGGAGGGACAGCGAGCGTGGAGTCAGGCTCAGTCGCTGCTGTGAGGACAGCTGGAGGCTTATGAATGACAGCCCGGCCTTCTCCATGCTGCGGGGAGCCAGCCGCCGCTGAGAGTGGCGCCTGCGGCGGCCTCCGTCACCCCCGTGACCCCTGCGATGGCGGCTG